GGACAACATATCTCCACGTCTTTGTACAATTATTCTGTCTCTCTTCATGGTTTTTCTCTGTTTCTTAGGGGTTATTTTTGTTACTCTGTTCAGTTAGAGATTTGCCATTTTCTGACTTTTTTTTTTAACTGATTTTCTCTGATTCTGTTGGTTTTAGATCTTTTTAAAAATAAGTTTTTATTTTTGGATTGATAACAAAAAAACTGCGGTATATTTTTAGATTTTTGTTGTTGGACTTTGCCTGCGCAGGTTCGAAGAAGAATATGAAAATGTTCATCGACTGAGTGTTACATTACTCAATTGACGTGCCAAAACAAAACGTCAACAGCAGGATTCGAACCTGCGCAGGCAAAGCCCAACAGATTTCGAGTCTGTCTCCTTAACCACTCGGACATATTGACTTCTGCGTGATTGAGCAGATATAATATATATCTCTTAAGAGTTGACCAATGAAGAAGGAAACGAGCCTCAGAGCCATAACCTTAGCATTTAGCTCATGGAACAGGAACAGACCCAAATAAACGAGAGGTATTCTTTTCCTTAAATTTCTTTTTAAAAAAGTTAACAGTCGAAGTAGAAAGCCAAGCCTCCAAATACTCAGGAATAACAAAATCCACTACAGTAGTCTAAAACCATTACAAGTCCTGATAAAACTTCCTCAAAGCCTTAAGCAATCACCAACATTTTGTCTTCCCACTCTTCACTAGTTATCATCTTCCACAGGGCTACGGTCCGCGTCTCTTGGGGTATGGTTGTCTCTTGGACTAGGACTTCGGTCTTGCCCATTACCGTCATCATCGTCTCCCTTCGGACTCAACCTGTTCTCTTTGGGGCTGTACTTCTCACGCATTGGGCTGCCTTCTTCAGGACTCAGGCTTCTCTTTCTATCTTTGGATGGAGAAGAGTTATCCACCATTGGTTCAGGGCTTCTGCTTCTAGCAGCAGGTTCAGGAGTCAGATCCTTTTCCATCCTAACCGGTGATCTTGAGCGACTGAGAAACCAGACCCAAAACAGAACAAAACACAATTGCATTAAAATCAAAACTTGAGCTTGAAGTTGTGAAACTACAGGTGATATTTGGACATCACTTACCTGTAGCTAGGTCCATGGCTGTA